CTTTTCCGCGGTTTGGGTGGAGGGGCTAAAAAAAATTGTGTTGATCGAGTTTAGATAACATGGATGTTAGATATGTACGGATATGCCGGCTTACAAAAAAAAAAACTAAGAAACTTAAACCACTAATGCCTCTTTTTACTGAGATTCAATGACTAAATTACAATTTTATATATTATTTTTCACGAGTTCTTTCGTTTTATAGGTTAAATCTCAACGGCGTCACAAGGCTCCGATACTGCTTATTTAAAATATATGTATGTACTTATAACTTCTTATTGTACTAACAAACACGTCACCAAGTTTCAACATCTCAATTTTTACTCAAATTACAACATGTATGGACAGAGGTCGCTTTATTTCAACTCGTCTCTCCATCCTACCCATTTATGTATATATTATATCTATAAATTCATATCAATTAGTTTTAGTTGTTAAAAAATAAAACCGTTAGTTGAACAAAGCTATGGTACTCTATAACAATATATAACCAGTATAAAAATAAATAATATTATGACTCTAAAACTAAAACTCTACGGATATTAATATTATATTAAGTATTTTATAATTGTTTACAAATTTTTAAACAAACCTCGGCAACCACATTGTCCACTTGAGTAGATGTATGAACTTCACTTCTAGTAGTCGCATCCAGAACTAAGTCTTCAAGGCTTTTGAATTTATTTTCCTTCTTTTGATGTTTAAATGCTTCACGACGTCGCATTTTATTCTCTTCAACACGCTTTTTCGATTCTTCTACTTCCTTTAAGATATCTTCTTTAAATGGGCAAATGTTAGGTATTTGAATAAGTTTTTGCTTTTTGCTCCCGGTTCTAGGATTTCGTTTTGTCTCGCGGCGAATTTTTCTGTTGTGTTCTCGCACTTTCTTTCCAATTTTATGTTTTAGGCGTCCAGAAAGTCGTTTAGACTTTTTAGCTGATATAAAGAGGAAATAATAATATATTATATATTTAATTTTATTCCAAATACAAACTTCTCAATCTTTTCAAAGCCATTGTCAATTTGAATCAATATCGTATCTTTGTTAGTGAAATCCACGTGAGTATATTAACAGTTGCCAGATCGACCACTTCATTCAAGTCTAAAAGAAAGCGAACACACTGTTAAAGTTTTATGTAAGTTATTAGCCCTGATGTGTGGAATACAATGCTCGCGACAGACTGCAAACGTCATCTAAAAAATTAAAATACACACGTTCTTATGGAGGGACCTATTTTGACAGCTGCACGACTACTCGGCGGCAGGCCAACAGTTGTCGTTCTCGCTAACTTCAATTTTATCCTATATTTGCCAACGACAGTAGAATGGAAGATAGAGAGATGAGGTAGAGTGGTGATGCCACTAATATGAAAAAGTGTTATTACTCGAAGTTCTAACAAACCAGACGTTATTTTACAAATAAAAGCATAAAATAGCTCTGCTACATCATTTATAATAACAATTCGTAATTTAAAACAAATAAGTTTACCTATTTACTTATTTTTTGCTTAAAAATTTCACWTYGAACAAAATATTAAAATTTCATTGAAGTGCAAGSTATTAGYATGGCCACAACGAAATTGTGTACATGCAAAAAGGACAACTGCGTTGTTTTGTGTACATGCCGGCCATTGTTATGTTGCTGCCCTCTCACAAACGTTCTTG